TAAATGAGGGTGGCGAGTTGTTAATAAGGAAGCCCCTGTCGCTAGTGTTGCAGTGGTACTGGGTCCACATAGGAGGTGAAAATGATAGTTGTGTAAGTGTTTTGTTTGATACTGGTTTCGATCAGGTTCTTCTTCCATAACTCTGCAGTTGTGTCGGAAGCGAAGTTCGTCGAGCTGGTACTGTATCGCAATGTGCCGCCATATAGATGGCAAGAGATGGAGTGTTCACGGTTCGAGAATTACATCCTCACACCGTTGCCGTTGGGTCCATGCCCTAACGCCTACTCCCCGCTCTCCCCACAAGATGTCACTGACTTTGTCTCTGTCGTGAAGGCCACACCAAGGAGGGTCAATAAGGGTGAGCATAGTAGAGCCGCGGAAGGGACGTGTATGGGACTTCTTTAGATAAGTGGTCGGAGCCAATTTTGAACGCCAGCGCGTTCGTGACGGGCAGCGTTGTGGGAAAGTGCCGACCTACGGAGCCTGTGAAGCTGGTGGAGAGCGCGATGATCGCGGCATTGGATGCCCTCATGATCAACACTAAGGGACCTCGCAGAACTAAGCAGCAGTGCAATAGGTGACATTGTGTGAATCTGTGGGAAGAGAGCACATTTGAGTGCCGCAGGATGTACCTGTCGGTTTCCTGTCCCGATTGGGAAGACGGTGAAGACTCTGAGGATGAGGTCGACGGGATGGGTGACAACTCGGCTGTTCTAGGCCGATCACTGAGCCAAGCTGAGAAGACTGTGGCCGCCGCGGTTCGAGGGTACTCCTCTGAGCTGTGGGCATATGCCAACCATCTCGAGGTGCCTCATTGCTGGGTACCATCTCACGTGCATTGTCCTCTCGGTCAGGTCCGTCTGTCCTTTGGCCAGCATATGCCTATAAGGGTCTTCGTCAGAGGCACTCCATGGCGCCTTGACGTTACCGCTATAGCCTACCATGAGGTCCGTCATCCCACCACTGGAGTGCTACAGCTGAGGCGTCTACCTAATCCTGA